CTTGTATACATTAAAAAAAACTTAATATGTTTGTAACAAATAATGTACTTCAGTTTCCGGGTCATGGACTCCCATCTCGATCAGGTTTTCGTTCGGTTTCCCTGATCCATTGAGCAAATGCTGAAATGGCCCCATGTTTCGCTTCTGGACGTAAATGTAGCTTCACTATGCGCCCGTTTTGTTGAAATCTCCTTTTGCTTATAATGGTAAGACTACGGGTAAGGGCGTGTTGCTATTTTGTTACCAATGCAGAAAAATTATACTTGAAATTCTTTTACCGATGCAAATGAGTTTTCTATAACTCAGAAACGAACATGTCTATTTTTTTCAATCATTGCTAATCTTGCTATTTTTAAAATGTATTTTTATTTATGTTAAAATTTTACTGATCTCTAAACTATTTATAGTTAAAATGACGGGAAGGGATTCTGGAACTCAAGAAAACGTGTGCAGATACTCTTCTCCCCAATATGTCTCATACAGTTTTTACTGTTTTTTGACTAAATAAATCTAAATCTAGTTTGTAGACTAGCGCACCCGTGCCAGAAGTCTAACTTTATCCTATTCCCTATCCTCCTATTTCCATATTAAGAGGAAAGTTGTTGGCGAAACAAATTTATTCCTTTATTTCCTGAAAATTACGGTGTGAGGAACGTTTCTTGGAAGCTTTTGGACTCATAATTCCACGTTTTAAGACGCCAGAACGCCTTAAGAGTTATCTATACTAATATTTAAACAGACAAGCACGTTTAGTTACAGCGCGATCTCTAAACGTACGATATCAATATCGACGAAAGTTTTGTGCTAGCTTCCTTTAAAGGTCAGAAGTATTGTAGGCTATTTCTTACACCTATAAACCATAATATATTTGCAAAATAATTACTTTTCTGGGCGTTTTTAGCGTAGCATTACATCGTAGATTCAACAGTGCATCAATGTGCAATAGTTTAGGTGCATGTCTCCAGAATATGACTAGGATATACGATTGAGTTCATGAATGCACAGAATTGCTTGTCTTTTTCCATGAAGTAACTTCAAGGATTAAAAATGCATAGATCTCGGAAACTGCAAAATTATTGATCGTTGTTTAATGTTATATACGAAGTGTTTTAATTGGTTACTTCAGATTTTCAATATTTAACAAGTAATAGCACGTGGGCATATGCATTTTAAGATCTTATTGAAGTTAAAATTGTTAAAAGTGTGAATAAACTGTAGAGTATATGAAGAGGAATATAAGGATGATGCTGTTTTAAAAATAACTTTGTGACAAATGCATAATAGTTAATGATATAAGGAATCAAATTCCATGAAGTTTCACATATACACATTTATTTGCATTAGAATTTACACAAATTAGTTGCGAATTATCTGTACATTTTTCATTACAACTGAGTGAGCATTTTCCATGAAATACCTCATTCTTCTTCAACGTCGTATTGTGGGAAGGATTTCTGAAAAGCGTTTTGTTTGGATCTACACCAACACTTCAGGAATATCTGTCTCCCCAAACTCTGGTAATGCATACAAATTATAGACATAATCTTAGTTTTTTATCATTATCACTTGGTTCGAGTTAATTTTATTTCGTGCATAACACAAGTAGGTAAGTGCTAAGTGTTTTACTTTATTTTTGTTTACCATGAAGTTATTTGTAAGTACTCGTATACAAACCAACAACCCTTTAGGCCTTTAAACGCGAGTTTTCAATAATTTATTGTAACTACAAAGTAATTTTTTATTCTGTGAAAGGACTTCTTGATTGATGTTTTGAATTACACGTTTATGATTCCAATGATATGACACTGTTACTGGTATTTTGCAAACGAATTTGGTGTTACTAAGAGATCCCTCAAATTGTAGTATTAAAATGAAATTGAGTAGTCACTGATGTGAAATAATGATAATTTTGGGCACACAATGCAAATAATATGTGAAGTCTGGTATTTCATGTTCATGAATATAACATTATGACAGACTGATTTTAATGCTCTTTCAGATTTTTAAAAAAGAATCTACATTACATCACATAAACAAATTAAAATGTTAAATTCAATTTGAGAGACTTGAGAAGCTGATCATTTACAAAAGTTTTATAATTAACCATTTCGCGTTTAATCAAAATAACCATATTATTAGTTTCATTATAAGAGTACGGCTAGTTCAAATAATTGAAGACTTTGCTGTAAACGAAAAATGGGAAGTTATCTGTCATACTTTTCGGCATTCAGGTTCTCTCAACTTTCTGACGTTGTGGTAGGACATATCCGTATTAAATCTTCCTATGCCTATATTGAAATATTTTAATACATTTGTTTATTTTTCTTAAAAAAAATATTAAATTTTTTTCGGAAGAACTGTCCAAGTTCAAGCACTACCAGAACTTGATTTGATGATATTCTATGGCACCTCGTCTGTTACTGCATAATATTTACTCATACCACGCAGATTGTATAACTACCTTTTACCCTGAGAGTTGCTTCAAGTACTCATTCCTTGCATTACAGGCTAAGTCAGTCTCAATTACAGTGTGACACAACACAAAATATTGCATCTGATTGAGAAAAACAATTTTATTTTATTTTAAATATGAACACATGGAACGTCAAGAGTAGCACACATTTATTGTGCAGTTATCATCACCAAATAGCTTAAGACATGTAAAACATTCAGTTACATTTATGAATAGTTGTTGAAACTTTGACGTATTACATAATGTAAACATTAAACGTTGAGCCATGCATTGCCATCGAATCGAGTTTTCTGTTAGTTTTGTACAATCACGATAGTTCTTCATACATGAAATTTCCCAATGTCTTCTTCGTAGACACAATATTTACACTTGTTAAATTGCTTCTTCTTTAACATTATTCTTAACCTGTGGTCCGAAAGAATCATCAATTTAGAAGAGTTTGTGGGGGAAAGAGTTTATAAAAAGTTACAAAAAATACCAAAGATTCAATTTTCTTTTTTAGAGTGGACGGTTTTTTGCATCTGAATGCAAAACAGTATTGACTATCTGGACATTTGTATGCATGCTTACGTAATAGTGATATAATTCAAACATTTACTTTCTGTAGCAAATTTTAGTAGAATCACCGGAAATCGTTTAATGGAACGTCAAATATGTCTTCATATCCTGGTGTTATTCACGTTTGCAAACCTCTCTTCCTGATAAAACTCTAGATACCATGACGATTTATTTCAAAAGTAATTTTGCAAAGCGAGGAAAAGGAGGGGTCTCTTGACATCAGAAAAAAAAATTGTAAACATATTGTGAGTGAATACAATATGATATGCGTTCTTGAACTTGAAATAATGCAAGACATTCTTAACAGAAGTTCGTTTGAACCCATTTACTTTAAGATCCGCTACAGAATAAATATGGAATATCAAACGCGAAGTTTTCTCCGACAATGCTAATCTTTCCTCGTTTATCGTGATGAAAATTACTTATGATTAGACAACTTACTCTCGTATTTTTTTCTCCTACTTGCTTTAATGCTAATCAATGAGAGTTGTACGAAAGTTGCGGATTACTGTTTCGATAAGATTGAACTCGGATCCATTTACAGTTGCCAATAACATTATACTCTTTGCCTATATCTTACATATTAAAGAATAATGGTTGTACATGGCCTAAAACCATTGATTTCAGACAGTTTCTTCAGCATGTATTAGGATAAAATGCAAAGGAATTTTAATGATTGCGTAATTTAAAATATATATATAACAACTAAAAATATGTTTTTGACATATCAGTGCTACGCTAGTTGACAGATGCCTATATTAATCTTACAATTATCTTTATTATTGATTAATATCACGAAACAAAAATATTTTATTGATATTAATTACAACCAATACAAAACATTATGTACATAATATTCATGTATCTACCAAAATTTAACCTAGTGCCGATACAATAAATTAATTCGAAAACCTTCACCGGCCATTCGACGAACAAGGAGCTCAAATTATAAAAACCAAACGGTCAAATTTCACATTTTCAACATGAATCGTCTTGAGCGTTAAGATACTGAGCTCACTTTCTTGATTTGTGTAAGTGCTGCAAGGTTGTAGATGTGTAATAATTGGAAATTATGTTTGTACAAATTAACAAGAATCATGTTCATATTTAACCATCTATATGTTTTTCAATAAGAACAGATAAATTTACAGTTGTCCAGAAAGTGCATTTGCAAATGCAAACAATCGCATCAAAATATTCTGGGGATCATTTCTCTTTCTCTGGGAGCTTTCGTCTCGTTGAGACGAAAGCTCCCGTCCCGCTTTCTATCGCTTCGGACCACAGGTTGTGGGCGCACGGGGGCGCGAAACAGACGTTCTGAGCATCTTTATTTCGGCGGACGTTGTTGTTTTATGGATACGTCTTCCCAGCGCGCGCACGAGCACTGTTTAATGAGAAGTCGACGGGCAATAGCGAACAAAAAGACTGCTGTGAAGTATTCCACAGTCGATTTCGACGCGAAAAGAAAGGATTCGGAGTTTTGAATTTTGAGGGGAGGATGCAAAGAACTTTCTTTACTTAATGAATTCATTGCGACATTATTTTAACTTATTTCTGAGTGGCAGTGAAATGTGAAAGTAATTTGTATGTTTAGATACCCTGAAGATGATGAGAAATAAAACTACAAGAAAGGGGAGAAATATAATTACAGGTGAATCCTAATATGAAAACAACGTCCGTCGAAAACGTCGCACACCGTCTAATTCTCCACCCGTCCGTTCGTCCATTTTCACGACCGTTTACAATCGAAGGTCGTACTAACACGGGATTGCGCGTATGGGAAAGCGCCTCGCAGCGCCCTCTGCACTTCTCGATCGGTCGATTGCTGCGTCGACGTGTCGCGCCGGGCTGCCCGCTGCTCCCGCTTCGCTCAGGCGGGCGGTCGCGCGCGCGAGCCCGAGGCGTGGCTCGGTCGCGGGCGGGGGCGCGGGCGCGGGCGGGGGCGAGCGCCCGGCGGGCGACGCGGGGGTCAGTCGGGCAGCGGCTGCAGGTACTCGCGCGGCTGCGGGGGCGGCTGCTGCGGCAGCAGGTAGTTCTCTCCGTCGAGCAGCTCGGCGGCGCGGGCGCGCAGCTGCGCCAGCGGCACGCGCCCCGGCGGCTGCGGCAGCCCGCCCGCACCACTGCTCGTCGACGCCCCCGCCGCCCGGCACGGGTCGTCCAGCGACGGCGGCGACTCTGCGGGCGCAGCGCGCACTTAGAATTATTAGAGAGACGGCGTGTTCGCTTCAGTAGAACCACTGTGGAGCCTCTGTGCAGGCGCGTACTCCAAGTGATGGAGGGGGGGGACGCTATTCCACTAGAATTAGCAAACGACTTAATGTGCAATGGTAACAGGTTACGTGATCTCGCTGTGTGGAATTTGTTTCCAACGGTGACGGCAGAATGTGCTACTCGTATTAACTCTAGGATTCAAATCATGTTTCTGGGATTAATCTGTATTTATAATTACATGTAATAATTACATATAATAATTACATATATTTAAAAATATAAGAATAATATAATGTAATTATGTATATGAATCGTTGGTTGCTGGGAGTGTCTAGTCCAACAAATTCAAATCAAATGGATATGGCACCTTGCATCTGTGCACACATCTGTGCTAAGATTGCATTTCTTCTTATAGTAAAGTCTCATACGGTATTTTGTTAAATAAATTTTTTAAAAAATTTTGAGCATTATGGGAATTTTACACACACTGCTACCACAATTCAAAACTACTTCCTTTTAGAATGAAACGTTGGGCAAAAGCTCTTTACACGCCCCTGATGACATGACTGATGAAGTTTTACGCAATTCATACATATAAAAAATAGGTCCTTCCCCGGGGCACTTCTTAAAGATAGTTGAAATCTTGTTTACCTTTATTTTAATGCTCTGCCCTAGTCCCAATGCCATTCCTTACTCACAAGGAAATTCGTTTCAAAATCAAAAACCAGAAGAATTCATGTGAGAGAATCATGCTAAGGTCCGGTGGTTACTAACCTGCAGATCACCATAGGATCTTTGTATCATAGCCAAAAACCAGGAGCATTCTTTTAAGCGAATGATACAGATGTCAGGTGTTTGCAAGCCCTATGATCTTTGTATCACGGTTAAGAACCGGAAGGGATCTTCCGAACGTACCGACTCCTGTGGGGCTGAGCGCGTTTTCGCTGGCGGGCGTGGCGGTGTCGTCGCTGGTGGAGGGGGGCGTGGTCGGCGCCGCCGCCGCCTCCGCCGCCGCCGCCGTCGTCGCCGCCGCCGCCGCCGCCTCCTCCTCCGCCTTGACGAGTCGCTCGTGCACCTCGTGGAAGCGCAGGCGGTCGCGCGGCTCCGTCTTCCAGCACGCGCGCATCACCTCGCGCACGGCGGCCGGGCAGCCCTCGGGGCACGACAGCATGATGCCCTGCACGATCAGCTTCATCACCTGCCCACACACACATGCGGTGGTCACTTATAGTCAGAATGGGAGCGGTAAAAGATCAGACCCAAACCTCATTGAGTACCAGAACAATTGTTCTTAACCCTTCCATTCACACATCATGGTCGATTTTAGTTCGAGAAGAAAATCAATGAAGTTATTGAGTTTTTCCTCAAATTGCAAATATACTATTTTTTCAAAGTTGAGCTCGATGTATTATTAATATTTGGTTCAAACCTGAAATTTAAAGTGAATATCTCAGTTCATATGCATGCATGTAGCCATTGATGGTTGCCAAGATTTCGTAATGTTTTTGTAGTGAACAGATGTCAAACTCAATAATTCCCGTATTTAGTGTTAATCTGTATTCAATATTAAACATTGGTGACCAACGTGGGGCAAGGATAACTTATAAGAAGTTTGGTAATTAAAATTTAAGCAGTCGTTCACATACATAATTTGGAAATGTGTCAGTTATCTCAAAATAAGAGTCGTATATAGAAATGAGATATTTAATATTTTAATAATCACTTCAAGTAATTCGCTTTTATTATATAACTTAAAATTGTCATGAAAGTTAATTAAATGAACTTAAACAAGGGTAACGAATAGCTTCAAAAATAAGACAACACAAATGGAAGCAAAAGTTGAATGGAAAACATGCGAAGAAATATGGAATAAATTTCAAGCAAAACAAGAAATCGAGCACCAAGAAATAGCACATGAAGTAACTACACAAGTGTTTATCGAAAAGTGAAAAAGAAAGATCTTTTCAAGATGACTTAATTTGTCACTGAAGTGCAAGAAATTATTGCCTATCGGTATCTCCCCTAGCGAGGCAACGCCCCAGCAGGGATAAACTCTGGCCTACCGTGTTGTGAGATAGAACAGTGTAGTGCAGTAATGGAAGAGCAGAAGATAGGGCAAAGAAGAGGAAGAAAAGACCGCATCTGGTCTGTGACCGGTTTGCTAGAGCCCTTCTCCAGTATTTGCTTGGCATTGATCAGAGATACCACGAAAACTATCAAACAGAACAGCCGTCTGTTAAAATTGACATCCACACAAATTGACCTAGCTATATAGCTAGTGTCGAAAATCCGAACGTTAAGGTCTTCCGGCGCTAATTGGCTCAGGCGACCGAAGCCGTGGATCTTTAAGGGCGAAAAGAAAACCTTCTTAAGCCTTCCTTCGGAGGGGAAGTAAAGCCGGCTGTCCCACGTTAGTAGATTTACTTACATGTAAAAGATCCTCAAGCCTAAATGATGCATCTGAGCTAAATTCAAATCGCCTGTTTCTCGCCCAAGGAATACCTCCTTTCTCTGCTAGTTGGTGAAAGGAGCATAGCGAAATGTGCTTGGTCGGATGGAAGAGCAGGCCTCTTAGCCTGAGTCTCGCCACGTAAAATAAGGTATTAATTCAATTCAATTCAGACGATGAAGTACAATACTTGTTTCACGCCTATATTAGAGTGATGTCCGTAAAATAAAGTCTCTGAGACACTTTTTCAAACACCGCCCGCGCAATAACCAATCTCATCCCCCGATTTGAATAGAGTACTGTGAAACACACCTTACTGTCCGGAAACACTCAAGCGATTATCGTTTCTTCCCTGCATTCAAGAAACACCGTGGTGGAACGAATTTAAGTATCGATGAGAAGCTGAAAGATGATGTGGCTACGTACGCGGTGCGGCGGGAGAGTTCTACGAGAAAGGAAGAAAAAAATATGGTACATCGCATACAAAAATGTATCGACGGCAACGGTGATTATGTAGAAAATTGGGGGGAAAATACAAGCTTTCCAAAAGTGTGTGTGTGTGTCAAGTCGAAAAAACAATTTTCACTGTTTAAAATCATTGGAGACCTTACTTTGCGGACGACCTTCGTAGTCTAGCAAATGAAGTGTAAGCATATTCACGGGAAGCGGGAGCGGGGGCGGGGGCGGGGGCGTTACCTCCTCGTTGGAGTGGCCGTAGTAGGGCTGGCGGCCCAGGCTGTAGATCTCCCAGAGGACGACGCCGAACGACCAGACGTCGGACTCGAGCGTGAAGCGGCCGTACATGATGCTCTCGGGCGACATCCAGCGCACGGGCAGCGGCCGCGCGCCCAGCACCTGCGCACGCGCACGCACACGCACACGCGGCGTCACACGAGCGCTTTGTGGGGCGGCCTTGACACGCCACCACGCACGCCAGGGAACACACCACGGTGTAACCCCCTCACGGCCGACACCCAAAGGAACGGGGGAAAGGTCGTACAGTCAGAGGAACAATAAACAATGATTAAAAATGGAGGAGTACCTACATGAACGTAATATAATAATATATAATATGAAATATTGAATACTTACTCGTATTAAATTTAAAAAAATGTCAGTTCCAAAGACTGGGAACATGTTTGTCTATATACGTCGACGCGGTGAATCCGAATCTGAAGGTGGAACTTCGCCATCACCCTCCAGTTGTTTTTTCAAGATTAAAAAAACAAAAAACAAAAAAACTAGAAAGTGGTAGCGCAATTCTGACTTAGAATTCGGATTCAGAGCGTTGACCTATATAGGGAGAAACGTGTCAAGTCTTTACTGGTCGGTCAACTTTTATTTTATGTGCTTGTGTTTATATATATGTGTATATAGTACATATCGATATACCCGCAGTACGTAATACACACAATAAGAGTGTAGGAGTCGATAATTTGAGAGGAAATGTGAGAAAGAAAGCACGAGATGAGTGTAAAGGGTTCTTCTATACAGTGCTAAAAAGGAAAGATTATTGTTGAATCTACAAATTACTACATCTACAAATATTTACTCCATCCATGTGGATGCATATTAAACTTGTAACGAAATTAACTTATATCTTCTTAACACAAGCGAATAACTGTAATAGTTATCTCATTATTACCTTAAATTTAATATTAGTCGGCATGAGTTGAGTAAATATATTAATGCAGTGACTGCTTTCTGTTTTATAGCCTTATAATAAAGTGTTAACCAAGTCAATTTCAACACACTTGTGCATAATATAGATTATAATATGCTAATAGTTATATGAGATGTGCAAAAAGTTTACGTTTCTTACCTCTAAATTTAAAATTTTACACGACTGTAATGTAGAAGAATGTTGCACTTATTATTATTATTGAAATAAATAAAAAATATTATAAAGCATCGTAAACTACAATGGACACAGTAAAGTAGATGTTGAATTATTAATAATCTTTTCAAACTACATTAGAAATATGAACACTCTCTACCATAAATTATCTTCTAAAATAAAATTGTTTGCATTTTACTCGTTTTAATGATATGTTTTAATGAGATGCAATTTATTTCTGTAACAATTATTATTGTTATTGTTATTATATTGTCATTGTGAAATTCATGATTTTAGAGATACACATTTGGTTTGTTTTAAATGGATGCAACATAAACAGTAATAAATAATAAGTCCCTAATTAGTGATAAATTTCAGCAATTCCTGAAAACAATTATTAGATTAGATTATTTATCGCAAAAAATGACATATGGAGGAGAAAAATGATACATGACCTCCCATGAACTACCAGGTCTGTGAAGATAATACTTCTTGGACCTACAATAATATTCTTTGTCATGCCTAGTTTATTAATGACTTCGCAGAAAATTTGCGCAAAAGTAAATATACATTACTATCCAGAAGCAAATCAATGTGCTACCACAGCATGTGCACAAATGATCACGGTAAACTGGATAGGAACCTGATCGAGACGGGATTGAATAATTCAAAATATCAAATTGGATGATAATGTTTATATATTTATTTATTTATTTATTTGTTTGTTGTTTGTAGTTTGTTTGTTTGTTTGCTTGTTTGTTTTTTAAAGAAGGATTTGCCAGACTCGAGCTGCGTTGATTTATGTTCGCAGTTTTCATTTTTATTAATAAAAGTGTCCCAATATTGGAGCTTGACTTGCTGGTACACAGGACCCAATAATATTTCGTGTGCTTTACGTTAAGATCAGAGAGCAATCGTTCCACTTAGATTTTCTTGGCTTGTACAACCGATGACATTATTATTATTATTATTATTATTATTATTATTATTATTATTATTATTACAATTATTATTATAATCATCATCATTATTATTATATCGAGGATATTACGAATAATAATATAAATCATAATCATCTTTATTTTGCGGGACTTATTCAAACGTATAAATGTTAGCCAAAGGAGGCGGAGGGACTTACAACCTTGTAGTAGTCGCAGGTGTAGACGTCCCTGCTCATGCCGAAGTCAGCGATCTTGACGACAAGCCCCGCGCCCACCAGGCAGTTGCGACAGGCCAGGTCTCGGTGCACGAAGCGCTGTTCCGCCAGGTAGCGCATACCTGCCGCCACCTGCCGCGCCACCGACAGCAGCGCCTCCTGCGACAAAAAATATCATGTATGTGATTATTCACGATTTATTGTCGCGGGTACCGGCTCAGTGCATCAATTGATGTCACTGCAGTGCCTCTGATCGGGAGGTCTTAGAGTTGCATCCCCGACGGTGGCAGGATTTTCGACACTAGCTACGTAGCTAGGTAGAATTCAGCAGCTGTGCGGAGGAGAATTCTAGCGGCCGGTTGCTCTGATCGGTAGTTTTCCGTGGTTTCTCCGATCAACACCAGGCGAATGCCGGAGCAGTACACTAACAAATGAGCCTCGGACCGTGTGCCGATATTTGCTTCTGCTTCCTTGTCCTTTCTTCACCCCTTACTAACTTTATATCTACGTGCGGCACACTACCACACGCCACAGGAATCTAGTGTTTGCTGCAACACCACATACTATCTCGCATTATTTCTAAATTAGCACTTTTCGAAAATTCAGAAAATTTAACGCAAATGAGACCTACACCATTATATTAAGCGCTGTTTGTTCTATAGGTGAAAAAAAATGAAGAAAAAAGTTTGAGCATTTTGGGGGAAAATCTTTTCTTATAAATTGCATTAAATTCAAGCAATGCCACTAGTTTTTTCCGAAAAATGTACATGATTTTTTTAAAGGTCTAAATTTTTAGAACAGATTTTGTGCAAGGCAAAAATTTCTACCTTCAATGTTGTAGTTTTGAAATATTAAATTTTTGCAATTTTTGAAAATACAGAGTTCTTTGGAAATGAAAGCAGCACCACATTTTTTACTGCTATGCACGTCTTCTAGAGTTCAGGTGGAAATATAGTTATTCTAATTATCGTTCTCCATGTTCTCGCGGAATGAAGTATATTCCTTCACAAATGCTTTGCCATTGCAAATGGTTTTTATTACATTGCAGCAAATATTTTCTTATTAATTCTTGCCATACGCGCTACTTTCTTTCGGTATTCAGAATTCAACTTTTATGTGGCTTGGGATAGGGATCCCAAAATTAATAAAATGTGCACAGAATACACTTTTTACCGTATCAAGTCACACACAGTTTTTAACTATTTTTACGTTAATAATAATAATTAATTTACATAAATAAAATAAAAAGTACATTTAGCACGCTTTGGGTCATTGTAAGAACATAATTAGAATCTACTCTCCTGTACGAAGCCGACACAAGCTACATGGCTTACATTCTCTGCAACACAAAACCGTTAGTATGGATTCCAATTCATAGGCTTTTGATCCTCTCTAGAGTTTCCTACACCAAATTTAGACCACACGCCTGCAGTATAACTACGAGTACATCGAGGAACATTTCCATTCGATACATCAAAGAAGCGGTTGAAAAGCAATCACCGTTACCCCCACGCGTGTCGTATTTCACTTCATTAGGTTTCCTTTTGCGATATGCTTTGTGGTTGACTCTGCTCCGTAAATGTCAGCCGAAGAAGTTGCTTTGGTGTCACCTCTATCAATGTCCAAGGTGTTTAAATCGTTTCCCACCCAGCGGCTTCACGTTGACGAGTTTACGGGCCCAGAGGCGTGAGGTGGCACAGTTGGCATCGAATACCCCACAACACTAAAGACTCATTCGCAGCGAAAATTTTAGCGTTGGTTTGAAGACTTGATCTTTTCAACAAAACCATGAACATTGTGTTCACAGTTTCTATTTGTTTTACCATAGAATGAAGAAGAAAAAGCGTTCTGGGAGCAGCTTATGGTATATATTCAAAATTGGTGGTGGTCGTCCGAGCATGATGATCGGTTTTGGCTAATCAACTGGGACGACTGCTTATTGTAACGTATCATTAGTATGGTGTGATTGATTTTCTTTCCAGATTCCATTTTAAATGTTAGTGAATACTGTAATTGAATCTACGAAATGACAATTAACTAGTTCATTGTGAATCAATGTTTAAATTAATGTTCTATCACACTAACATTCCTCGAAAACTGAAAACATTTCTCCAAACATTTGCTCAAAATTCAGCATTTTCTGAAACGCTCGAACATTTTCTCAAAATCGCTCACGATTTTTCTTTAAACTGTATCGATGTACTAAATGCACTGACAAAATTGACATTAACACCATTCCGATGTATACTTTTGTGTTTTTCGAAATTACACAAATGTAATTTTTTAAATAAATATCATTTTGTTACTATTTCATTAAGGAATTCCTTAATACATTCTTGCATTTGTGTGCAGAAGGGCTTGAAATTATTCTCTACGAAGTCTCTGGAAGACTGTAAAGTTTTATGTGAACTCAAAATTGCGCATTTTCAGGAGCGCTCAAACCTCATTTTCTCGAAAGCAGCTCTACATTTTTTCATTAATTTTTTGTAGGGGTAGTGCTAAATGCACTGAATTACATTGCATAAATACCATTTTGATACATTCTTTTCTTTCAAAAATTACACAAACGTAATTTTTATGAAATTGTAATCGTAATTTTTATAAAACACCGCCTCAAACGAAGCACGGGAAATTCGAATTTCTCATTTAGAATTTTCTCTCAATTAGAGTAGAGTGTGCCAAAAATGAGGCCAGCGCTACCTTTCACATACATAAAAAACTTTTACATACGTAAAAAAAACTAAAGAAAATATTGAAGCAGTTTCTGAGAAAATAATTGTTTAAAATTGCCTCTGCTTGACGCAAAATTACCTAAAATACTCACATTTTCACAAATTTGAATATGACCATATTTAAAGATATGTTTTTGTCAAACATATTTCATTAAGAAAAAAAAATCTGAATTGTAGATATAAGAAGAGGTTCAAAAAGCAAGAACATTTTTCAAAATTCGTCTTCAAAGAAAATTTTTCATTAAGGAAAAATATCTATATTCTATATTTTAGTTATAGGAAGACTCCAAAAAAATTGATCTCTTGCAATTTCCGAAAAAGCAGGGATTTTACCGGAAGTTAGAACTGAACCTTTCTCTTATACGTCCCTTATGCTATAAGAGATCAAAATTTAATAAACAAAGTGGCTCAATTTTTTTTTTAAATTTTGAAAATGGACGTGGGGCTTCTGATTCTGAAGTATCTTCCAATGTTAAAATATCAGTTTCTAATTCAAGGGGCCGTCACATCAACCAGGTTGATTGGGCAATATAAATTTTAGTGAAAATCCTGCTTACGGTTTAGCCGCTAGCGTTGTTGACTGACGGGCACATAGACGTTTTGCCGTCAAATGATTTTTAGGTATCAAGAACCCACAAAATATGGATTCTGACCAAACACACGGGTTTGAGAAAGTAATTTACTATACATAAGAACAAGAAATATCCAATTTTTTCTTTACCAGATACGGCAACAAAAGATTTTTTGTCGAAAATTCTGTTTTTTCCTGGAGTATTACAATACTATCTCTATACTAGGTAAGCAGTAAATGACCAAAAAGTTAGTTGTACTGGGTATACCTAACTTTTTGGTCATTTAAAAACCAAGTAATTTCTTTTGTGTGTGAATATCATGGAGTTCGTAAGTTTTAAATTTGAAAATATGAAGCACTTGATTTGATATCCTTGTCCCAACTGATCAATTGGCAACTCGTGATTTGTTTTCGTTGGAGAATAAAATGAGGGAATAAAAATTATGTCTGTCTTCTTCATTCTGTTACCTACCGATTTCTTTAATTCTATTCTATTCATATTCTGTAGATGCTTTTGCCATATTTTCTGCGTCATCTGTTTATCAATTTAAATTCTACGTGGGGGCTACAGAAATGTGTCAAAAGACGCCGCGGTGCGGCCTGCAGCTGCACTTGTTTACCTGCGTGAGCGGCGCGAGTCCGGGCATCGGCCGCCAGAGCGTGCGGCTGTTGTTTCGCAGCACCTCGGCGAGGTCCCCGTGCGGCATGTACTCGAACACCATCCACGGCCGGCACTCGCCGTCTGCAACAGGTGGCAGCGGCGGCGGCGCACGCGCTGTGGATTAGAGGCACGACACCCACCCTTCACCCACCACACACGGACAGGACTGAGCAAGTTACCACTTATCCACTGAACAGATTACCAAAGTAAATTCTTTAAAAAAGTTACATTCCATTGTTTATATTCCATTGGAAACTATCGAAATATTCGATAAAAGTTTGTATCAACTTTCCTCACCGTGAGGTGACGAGCAAGTCATTTCCGGTACATCGTGATTCTGATGGAAATGTTAATACTGTTCGACCAGAAGACTTCGAACATCAGTATTCGAACCATTTGCAAATAATTGCAATGAAATGGAAAAAGTGTAATTTTTCTTCTAACAATATCTTGATTAAATGGTTAAATAGTTAAATGGTAACTTCAAAAGTTTGGATTATGTGTAGTTGGTAAATTAATAATACTGTCAGCTCAAACACAGAAGTTAAACAAACCCAATTTTCTGGTTAGTGACATCAAATAGTATTGGCTGGTTCATTAAACCCAACATTTGTTTTGAAAAGTTCTCGCGTGTTCAAAACAATGCGATGATCGCACTACATAGTATCTCTAAGCATAGTTGCCAATGGAGTATTCTCATTATGAAAATATGTTTTTTTGTTTCAAGATTATTTTTTTCTATTATTTCGAAAATGGGAGGAGGGGGGTCAAATAGACTCCACCTAGAGTACTTCTTGAATCCACTCCTACTTAAAGGATAGTGTCTTGGAAAAGAAGTGGATTGTAAACTTACTAAACACTTTATTCAATGATGATGATAATATAATAATAATAATAATAATAATAATAATAATAATAATAATTAATAATAATAATAATAATAATTTATCAATGGTTATCGGGGACTTTACAGTTCTAAGCTAGTGCATTTTTGATATCTCACATCCGAGATTTCTCCGTTTCCTAGCGTTCAATGGGGAATATAGTTATTCAAATTTTCGTTCATTTTCTTGCAGCTGCAAGTCGGTTCACAGGGCGTGAAGAAAGGATAATACTCACTAGCTGATTTGCCCTTGCAAATAGTTTCTATTGCACGGGAATGAATATTTTCTTATCAATTCTTACAAAAACGTTCGTCTCCACCAGTAATTATAGTTTATATTTTATAAATATATATGATAGGAATGCCAGAATTTATGAAATTTTGCACAGAATACAGTTCTTCCCCTAGAACGTAACAATGTTTAAGTTTGAATAAACATACACGATCCATTACGAAAATTCAAAATATACGTAGCTCTTACAATAATCACTTTTGAATCGCCCTGAACTGATCACCTCTTATTTTTCTACCAATCGTTAACTATCGCCGCATACTTGCGAGTACTAGAAACATAGATGGTTAAGATTTGCTTACTTTTACAACAGACATCGTACTGGATTGTATGACTTTTACCACTCTTAAATTTTACACGTTTATTTATATGCATATTTTCGTAGTAAATATTGTTTTGAACATCATTACATTAAATCTTTAAACAACACTCTCATAAATTTTCAGCTATAAATCTTACCACTGAAAAGTGGAGATATTATATCATCTGCTCGGAGAATATATTGTCAAACTTCACACTCGAATCCTCGTAAATTGAAATGTCGGACAACTAAGCCGCCGCCCTCGTCCTCGCCGCACTCGTCCTCGCCGCACTCTCATTTCTTTTTTGGGTCTCGTCACGGTGAGGATCTGTCTGTATCCTCGGGCTTGAGCTGCCCCCACATCCGCCCACTTTCGTCGTTCTTTTAATCATCTTTGCAGCAAGGTATACCTGACATTTGTTATCCACCAAGAACTGGATAGTGAACTACACACCAATTGTACTGGCAACGCGCGTGAAGAAAACCAAATCGATCCCTTCTGTCAACAGCGAAATTTGTGCATAATTTTTACGGAATTCCAAACAATAATTCCAAATAAAGTAAAACACACGCTAACATTTTGCTGATCAATTTCAGTTAGAAAATATATTTGTCGGCTTGGAAATACGTAAATCTCCTAAGCATTGACTAATTACTTCCGTGTTATTTGTTCATTTTTATTAATATTCACATACTTCATGTATTTTTCTCCTACATAGTTGCACCTGTTCGTCATATTGTATTTTACCAATCCTCTTAAGAATCACGCACACCCATAAAAAAAGGGTTGACTGTTATGAAAACTTCAGTTATTTTGTGTTTTTCCAATCACAGTTTTGGACAAATTTGGATAAAATTGTACTTTTCAATAAAATACAAACATGAATAAAATCACTGTTAAATATTATTAATTTTAACAGTCTCTGACCCTTACAATTTATGGTTCATGCATGTAGCGTAGGGAATTTCATTTAGTTAAGAGAGATCTGTTATTACTATTAACTTCAACATACCGATATTGAACAAATAACAAAATCCATTTTTTGTTATATAGACCACGTGCCTTGCAAAATTTTTCGTTATGCAACCCTGTTATATTAAAAGAATGAAAGAAATAAGAAATACCTTTCTTGATACAGGAGCATTACTACGCAAACTCTAACTACAGCTCATAACTGTTTTGATTCTGAGTGGACGGCGAACTTATAAAACTAGTTCAGTTAAAAAGGTCGTTTCCTGGATTCCTTGTCCTCTCTTGACGTTCTCTCTCGGCGTCCGCTTTTGACGTTCTCTCTCGGCGTCCGCTTTTGACGTTCTCTCTCGGCGTCCGCTCTCGACGTTCGCTCTCGACGTTCACTCTCAACGTTCGCTCTCGACGTTCGCTCTCGGCGTCCGCTCTCGACGTTCGCTCTCGGCGTCCGCTCTCGGCGTCCGCTCTCGGCGTCCGCTCTCGACGTTCGCTCTCGACGTTCGCTCTCGGCGTCCGCTCTCGTCCAGAGTCGTCGTCCGGTCTCGCTGCACGTAACATCTCGATCTGCCTTGCCACACCGTGCCACACCGTGCCACGCCATGCCACGCCACGCCGCGGCGCCGACCTGCGCCCCAAGAGTCAGCGGCCACGTGTGTGGCCTTGCGGTACGGCGCGGCGCGGCGCTCGAAGGGACATGCGTTGCTTTATGCCGCTCGTTCCGGCCGCGCGCCCTCAAAGACGCTCTCGCCGCTGCCGACCCACGCCCTCCTGGCGCGCCGCGGTCAGGAGAAGCTCGGGCGATGCCCCGGCTGAGGTGCCCGTGTTGCCACTGCAGAGCATTCAACCAAGATGTTTTGGGGTTCGAGTCCAGACGGTGGCGGATTTTTGTTACTTTCTTCCACTATCTGCGGGCTGCCCTGATCTGTAGTTTTCTGTGATTGCTCGGATTAATACCAGGCGAATGCTGGAGCAGTATCATACCAAATGAATCACGGTGTGCGCACCATCTTTCATTCCTCTATCTTGTCCTATCCTTTCCCCTCACACAGCAACACTTACACGCACTAGATTACCACACATGTCAGAAGCTTATATCCTGTCCCGGCTGAGGTGGTTCCCCACTGGAAGAACTACGTCGGGAGGGAAATATGTAGTCCGTCGCGTAGGTCGGCGCTGTTCTCACGTTATAGAGGAGGGCGAGCCCCTTTACATGCAGAGATATAAAATGTACTACACTACTGACCGAAGCAGTCGGCACTCTCGAAAACATTAAAAAAAGTTGAAGGAGGTTATTACGGATTGAGAAATTAAAACTGTACAATGTTAAAAAAACATTGAGCATGTTCAAAATTCTTGTTTATAACTGTTCGCTGTCCGTATAAATATGGTGCCAGTGTGAGCTCTGTCCTTCAATACGGAGTCGCCCGTCATTCAATGTCGTCGAAACGTGATGCTTTTTGAACACGATTGTGTCACGCGCATTGTTGACACTCATTGATTCGGAAACGTTCAACACAAGTTTTTTGTAATAAATACGTTTAGCACGAATTTTGAGGCCTAAATAGAGATAAATCATATAAATACATATTTTTACCGAAATAAGATATCTGCGTTCAATATTTTTGTAGAGAGTGCATGAAACTCGGAATGAATTAAAACAATTTTTATTTCACATTTTTCCCATATTTATGATATAATTTCACATTTTTCATATTTACTCATTAATACATTTTTCTCTCATATATCAATTTAATATGATTATATGTCAAAATGGAATATTTCAGATTCAACATTGTAAAATAAATGTTTTCGGAATCGTGTTTTTCTGAAACAAAGCGAATCATCCTTTACTTCTCTAAAATTTCATACTATAAATCAAGTGTGAACGGAAACTATCCAACAAAATAATTGCAATGATATGCTTGCGCTATATTTTCGTATAATTCATTCGTAAATCGATCGAAATCTGACAAACAGACCATTACTTACCATTACGAACTGACCAAATCTTAGTCTTGTCGCGCTTTCTGCTCCCGGCTGAGAAATATATACACTGTGCCGGGGCCGCACAATTCGGAACATTTTCATGAAAAGCCGCACACTCGGATTTAAAGGGAATACTCCTTTGGAATGTGATGCAATCAATGTGACACTTGTTTTCGATACATTTAGTTAGATTACAAACAACGTGGAAGTGATTGCTTGCTTCCTTGCGCATCATCTATTTAGATCATTCGTCCCATTAGTGCAGTGCATGTTGTATTCTGGGTTTGTTTCCTTCTTCGCTGGAACGTGATATTCGACGCCGACCTGCACGTCTTAAATGTTTATTCCTCTTCCATATATATTCCGCTGCGGGGCATCGTCCAAGCAGGAGTCAAGCTCTAGGCCTCCGACTGGCCTTCCACTCTAGCCAGCTAGTGAAGAAAATCTGTCACTTTTAGGACTCGAACCCTGAGACATTCCAGTCAACGATCAGTTGCAGGGGCAAAGTAAACAGTTGGAAATGGGGGTATGCACGAACCTCTTAGTTCCCCATTCCCATGCGTGACGGAACACGCGGTGAAACTATTCATGTGCTTCTCCTAAACATATAGTTTACGTACGGCTTTTACGTTTCCTGTAATACTAGTTTTGTTTTGTAAACTAGTATCTTATTAGTTCCGTAGAGGTAGAGCGTTTGTTCAGCTGCCCCGAATGTGTTTTAAGTGGTAATCTGAGACATTTTGTATCCGAAAAATTGAAAATAGTCCAACTTTAATTTGACATATTTTGTAGGTTTCCCCACATATTTTCGAAAATGATATGTATACGAATGAAAATGATATATGCGAGAAATTAAAAATGTTGATTATGAAGTTTGTGAACTGATATATAATATATATATATATATATATATA